TTTCCCTGATGCCACAGAAACTATATTTTAGGTACCAAAGATTTGTTTAACAAATCAGGAATTAGCAAACAAAAATTACATTTAACAGTTAAAGACGACACATCATTTACCCAAAACCTTAAAAGTAAAACTTATAACTCCGCACTGTCTACAACACTGTTGATGGACACACTTTCATTCTAATATAAAACTTTAACAATAAACTCTATAATAGATATTAAAAGCAGAAAGTCACTTAAGTTTTGCACTAGAATGCAAGTCTGACAAAGCCTGGACATTGTTTCTGTGATGTCCTGGAGACAGAAGGAAAAGTTGACAGAATATTGGAGTGTGTTACAGGCTACATAAAGGTATAAAGGAATGCATACGTCTTTTTCCCTTGTTTACTCCCATACTTTTTAAGGTATCCAGCAGATGGAACATTTTCTGTCATAACCTTAACTCTCACTTGACAATCATGCCAAACATATTTTTTCTAATCGATCTTGTTAACCTCATGACTACTTCATTTTTTAAGAATCTTTCTGAAAAAAGTCTATCTAAGGATTTAAGTCCCAATAAGATGCGTCACCTAGTCAGTTCTCCTACATACACTGTATTGTAAGCATGCTTAAAAGACTTTAGGTGGTTAAACAGACAAGTTTTTCCATAAAATAAGGAAGTTCTGTTCCCATCATGAGAACATGTATTTCTAGTTTTAGAGTGCCAAGGGCTACCTCCCATATAATTCTAGCTCCCTTTTTATTAAAAGCACAGGTACAGCTCTCCAAAAAGTAGAACTCGCAGAACTAGCAAATTTTCATGAGAGACTATATTTTTATTAATCATCCACTATTTCTTACATTCATTTACTATGCTGTAGATTTGCTGCTCCTTAATATAGTGATTTCAGAGAAGAACTGCACTTTAAAATAGTAGCAATACTAACAGTGTATTTTAAAAAGAGCATTTCCCACTCCTCAGCAATTAAAAAGACAGATAAGGCATGGAGAACTTTAATATTCATAGGTTTCAGGAAATTTCTGATATATTTTTTCCATGCTTTATGCATCTCACAGAGCTAAGATTGTTTAGCTTACTCACATTTCTTTTCATTCTATATGGAATTCAATTCAACTAGAATTTTTTTTTTTTTTTTAAATCAACAGTTATTGGACTGAAATGATTTGCAAATAAACATACAAAGAGAAAGAAAGTGGACTAGAGAATACTATTCAAAAGGATTCATACAAAAATGTTTTTGCCAACCTCGTACTGTCAGCTTGCTATACAACTGTGAATTCATTTCCTTGTCCCGCTGGTAGCGCCGAAATTCATCAACAGCCTCCCGCGCCACTGTGACAGCCAAAACAAATCCCTGTTAAAAATATAATGATACGACTCATATTTCCCAAAATGAGAAAGATACTTTATTAAAATACAGAAGAGGAACATAACAGTAGAAAAGATAATGTGTGAGGAATGCATTTTGGGGCAGCTAGGAGACTTCTTTTTAAACACTTGCCTTCAATTCAGTTCATCCTTCTCTTAGAAAGGCTACTAATGAAAATTTAAGACAAGGTGAAAGAATCCTCCAAAAGCACTAAAACCTTTTTCATTCCTTGACATATTCCAGTTAAGTATTACTAAATCATATCAATAAAAATGTCAGAAGGCAAAACTTTTTGAAGTAGTATGTAATTTAGAAAATATTACTGTCTTTTAAATAAATCTACTAAATTAATCCTCCATGCCATTTTTTGAAAATTGTTAGACCTCTTAAGAGTATGCCAAGATGCAGTTCTTCACGAAGAAGAAAATGGAGGTAATTTGCTATACATATTTAACTTTAGGACTGTATGTCACTTCCAAACGGCAAGGAATGTCAGTTTTAGTTTGATCAGTGAGGCTGCACAAAGTCAGCTGCAAAAGCAAACAGAAGTCAGTTTCTGACTCTCAAGTTTGGTTTCCTATTGCTGCAAAAAACAATACTGAACTACTCAATGATTAGGATAGTTTTCCTGTAATTTTATGTTAAAAAGAAAAAATAGCTTAAGAAAAAAATAACTGTTGTTAACTCATTTTAAGCTACTACTAGAAGTCTCCCTTCAGTAGCATGAACTAGAACAAAAATTACTGAAAGTAGGTCTTTCCTTTAAAAACCAGCTATCTAGAACATTGAAAATAAAACCTCTTGCTTGTTAATTGTCTCTCTCCAGAGGAGGGAATGCCAATCTTCACAGTGGAGTATTCTTCATTCCATAGCAACTGGAGGCATACCTGCTCCTAGATTCCAAGTCTGTGATTAGGTCTGACCCCCCCAAAAAATCTCTGAAGAATGAAAGATTCCAAATCTGAATATTAGTATATGTAAAATTAAAGGCAAATTAACAAAGGGTAATGAGAGATGTGAAAAAACCACACAAAACAGCACTTTCCCAAAAGAGGAAGCACATTTGTTTGACTTGGCTCCACAGGATCTATATAGATCGGGTGCTTCAGCAGGGCTTTTTGGTGCTTTTATCTAAAGCTGATTCAATCATATATTAGATAAAAGCCCCACTGAAGCACCCAGTCTATACAGATGTTGGGTGAGCCAGGTCTAAGCAATGCCTCTTCTGGGCATGTGCTGTGCTCAGTGTGGGGGCACACAGAGCCTAAAGTAAAATGCTGTTTTGTTTTGTTTTTCATGTACGTGAGCAGCCTAAAGCTACCTGCAGTGCAAGCAAAGAGAGATTTAATGATTTCTTGGATGAACACTACTACTTAAATTTACTTAACAAGGAGGAAAAGAATGTACAGAACTCTGAACAGAGCATAATGCTCCAAAAGAAATCAGACTGATGCGAAGGATTCTAGAAAGACTATTCACAGGACTTTTTTCTCACATAGGCCCTCTGTAAGGGACTGTTTTCATATAAAAAGGAATTAAACACCTTGAAAGAAAGGTTCAGTTGAGCTGTGTAGAAATGGGAAAGCCACTTCAGAAAGTGCCACATTCTTTAATACTCATTTACCAAAACAATACAATTTGAGAGGATGTATCGATTCTAGAGTGCTTTGACATAAGGATGGACCACCACACAGTAGCTTATAGCCCACAACAAAGAATAATGTACAGAGAAAGAGTTGTACCAGAGGCTTAAATTCTCTTGGTATTTATATATATTTAAAAAAACAAACTTTTTATCACATTTAGGACTTTTACCTTCTTAGCCTGCTTGGATTCAGACAGGATGATAACAATAACCCTTCTTCTTATAAAGAAGATTTTAGTGATCTTAAGAAAGAAGTCTAAGTCAGTTTGAAGAACTAAGGGGCCCTGATAACACAGAAACCATGCCAAACTACAATATCCCTCCGACTTGAGGCAGTAACATGTGAGCCAGATACTTTCACTGAAACAAGATGGGCTCACGCCAAGCATAAAAGCAAGAAAGGTGATTTCTGACTTAATGCACAGTTCAACAGTATGGCAGAAACAAACATATTACTGGAGGACTGGGGAGAGGCTTAATCCTTCAAAAACTTGTGTGATATTGATTAGAGGTTTTTTGATTTCTCATGGTGCAATATTTGCAATCTCTGACCTGTCATCTTTCCAAAATGCTAGTGGTGGGATCCAAGGTCAGAGCACTTCACAGAAACTTGAGAATGTTGCTCACCTGATTTTGCGCTGATGCATGGCTTGTACCATCAACTGCAGGATGTCATTAAAATGAATATGGATTTCATTCTTGAGTATCTCTGAAGGGTTTTGGATCCCCAAAATACCTGAATGACTGTACTTTCTTCTTATAGCTTTCCAGCTGATAACTTTAGCAGCACCTGATCTTGATACAGGATATCCTTTGTGTATTTCTAACTTGGGAAAAGTTTCTTTTATATCTGAATTAGGTCTCAGAACCAGAGAGTTAATGAAAAGGAGACCACTGTAGCCTATTTCTCTAAAACGTTCTTCACCATCTTCACCTCAATGGTTTTGAGGAAGGAAGGGGGCATAAAGGAATCAGCACATCTTGCTTCTAAGGCATCACCTCTTCACATAGCGACTTCAGGTTTCTTAACTGGATCTGGATAGGCACAGATTAACTGGCATGTTTTCTTTTTGTCTTGTAATGCTCTGAAAGGTTGACCAGACCAACCTCCCTTCCTTCTGAATCAACCAACTCTGATCTTTTCATCACCTTTAAAACTCAAGAGGCAGAATGGAAGTTTCTGCACAGAACATGACCAAGGCTGTGTTTCTGAGAAGTGCTTAAGATTGCTTACTAGCTTGTAATGGACTTTATACTTCATCTATTAGTTCAAGAACTGACATACTGGTTTTGCACTACATTTTCCACGTAGGGGTTTTGAAATGGCCTCACGGTGGCCTGTATTCAGTACTTTCAGGATTTAGAGAGCAGCATCAACATTTTACATGAATGATTATCAATCTCTAGTCTAAGGAATACATCTTCAGATGGGATGGCTGCATCCTATAAAGAGGCTATAGCATTCTCTTCTCTTAGCAGGGTGATGAAGTCCTTTGACTGTACATGAATTGTATGAATCTGAACACCAAGAAAGAAGTAACCCACCTTGGTCACTTCCTTATAAATCAGATGAAGATGTATTAGGGATCTTTCTCAAGTTAACAAACAGATTTGTTTTCCTTTTTATAGATACAGATTCCCTAACCTGCACATTAATTTTGAGAAATGTGGATGGCAGCCTCCTGCACCTTAAACCAACCCTCAACTTCAGAGAATCTGCATTATCGTTAAAGGATCTTTGATGACAGACTCCTGAAGAAGCCCTAACATAATTTTCTACTGAAAGCAATGGAAGATCACTTGATTTACAAGGCCAAAATATTATGCTCTCTCTTTAAAAAAGTCCCTTGAGTAGTTCCCTTCTTTACTGACATCTGGGGACAAAATTTCTATTATTATGGTCAAATAACACGTATAATAACCCTGCAGACATTAGGCTGAGAACTTCAGTACCAAGAAAAAAAAAAGGAACCATTTTTATAAACTCCTGTGGAACTCTCCAAAGGCTGGAAAAAGGGAGAAGACACACAAAGCCCTCCTTGGCACGGAAGTGGAAAGGGACCTTGGAGTCCTAGTGGACTCCAAGATGAACATGAGTCGGCAGTGTGACGAAGCCATCAGAAAAGCCAATGGCACTTTATCGTGCATCAGCAGATGCATGACGAATAGATCCAAGGAGGTGATACTTCCCCTCTATCAGGCGCTGGTCAGACCGCAGTTGGAGTACTGCGTGCAATTCTGGGCACCGCACTTCAAGAGGGATGCAGATAACCTGGACAGGGTCCAGAGAAGGGCCACTCGTATGGTTAAGGGCTTGCAGGCCAAGCCCTACGAGGAGAGACTAGAGAACCTGGACCTTTTTAGCCTCCGCAAGAGAAGGTTGAGAGGCAACCTTGTGGCTGTCTATAAGTTCATCACAGGGGCACAGAAGGGAATTGGTGAGGTTTTATTCACCAAGGCGCCCCCGGGGGGTTACAAGAAATAATGGCCACAAGCTAGCAGAGAGCAGATTTAGACTGGACATTAGGAAGAACTTCTTCACAGTTAGAGCGGCCAAGGTCTGGAACGGGCTCCCAAGGGAGGTGGTGCTCTCCCCTACCCTGGGGGTCTTCTAGAGGAGGTTAGATAGGCATCTAGCTGGGGTCCTCTAGCGCCAACCCTCTTTCCTGCCTATGCAGGGGGTCGGACTCGATGATCTATTAAGCTCCCTTCCGACCCTAACATCTATGAATCTTGACAGAAAGGGATTGTAATCCCTTAATTTCTCTACCTAGTATTGACTGGTGGGTACTAACTAAAAATGGCTGGTTTAAGAATGGAAATTCCTTACAGTGGTTTTTGTTTTTGTTTTTTTTTTTATCATCTCCATGTGAGATTTTGCCCACATGTATATTGTGAGCCTACTTCTTTTGCAACCTGATCAATTTAATTTCTTATACATTATTATTATCATTATCATCATCATCATCATAGGTCCTGCTACAAACAGAAACCCGAATTCTAGTCTCTAAAATCTGGTGGCAGAGAACTCTAAATAATTATTCCTGGGAGGCAGCCCTGAGTCCAGGCTCTACACTGAAAATAAAGTTTGCCTTCAGTTGCCATGGAAGAGAAAAAAACAGAAGGAACGGATGAATTTAAAGAATTTAAAGCACAAAATCATTTAAGTAGAGAAGGTTATTTTGTAAACAAAACTGATGCTCCTGTTTTATATTTTAGTAGCTAAGTCAACAGTACTTCCTTTCAAGCAAATGGTAGATTAGGAAGTTTAAACTAGGAGTTGCAGAGTTTCAGTGGGCTAGAAACTGTGTGAAGCCTACTTTTAAAATCAAATTATGTTCTTTTCCACATTGGAGGATGGGTATGAAAAAACAATTTTACAACACTCAGCTGGAAAACTTTTGCATGGATTATGCATATGTGTTTTCTAAAATAAAAACCAGATTTTTAACATCAACTGCTTTTCATCATTTTTCTGTTTACCAGAGGAGCCCAGTAGGTGTACAGGTAGCCTATTTTCAATGCTGGTACAAACTGTGAGCACGACACGACGAGAAAATAGAGGTTCAAGAAAAACTTGAACTGCTCATATAAAACCTAAAATAAAAACAGAAAAAAAAGAAAAATGTCTTCAAAATTTATTTTGTGAATGTACATATAAGCATTATTTTGCACAAAAGTATAACTTCATTGAACTCTATAATACATTATTACAATGTTATCACTTTTAGAAAAAAGACAAAAAACTTATGAGTGCATCATTTAACATTCATTTAACATGAACACTTCTCTCCATTTCAAAAGCAGCAACAATAGTAAGGAAGACTTACAGAATTTTCGAGAGGTACTTTGTTTAAACTGATATGTGTGGATAAGCCTGCAGCTACCTAAACTGGGATAGAAGGTATAATTTGCTGTGGAATTCAAAACTACCCACCCGCCTCATACCAGCACTATCTTTACATTTGTATCCTAAATTAAATTAAACCGGTTTTATTTTTCCTCACACTGTCAAAACAAAACATATTTAAGTTTTTGGGGTGCCACATAGGTGCATATCTATGCCTTAGCTCAGACTTTAAGTCTAAAGCATACATTTGAGTTTCTTGAGTTGTTAATGTTTTATTTTTGAAAAGTTAAAATACAATTTTCGTTAAAATTATAGATTAGTGTTCTCAACTTTAAGAACGGTCTGGTAATATCCGTGTTTAATTAAAATGTCATTAGAAATACTATTCAAGGAACACAGAAGAAGAGCTATGTGGAATATGTATAATGATTGGAAAATACTTAGCATCAACTTTAAAAGACAACAACTTTTCAACAGGGTAGCAGTACCATACAAGCCAGTTATTTCTATATTTATACCACCAGTGAAGTGCAGAGCAGCCAGAATTTATACCAGTTTCCAATTAACTTCTGTTCTCCCCACCTATACACACACCCATTAAAAACTTCTCTGTGATGACCTTGAAGTTTCTCTCTCCAAAAGAGGTTGAAGAATATGCTAGTTCAGAGAACTCTCTAGAGAACAGCCCTGTTTTAAAATGGATATCATCTGTATCATTTTCAACAGACAACTGTGACAGACAGCCATCATTTTAGATACCCTCTTTCAGAGTGGCACAATTTCCCATTGTTCCCAAAAGGAGTGAAGGCAATCTGCTTTCAATACTGATAGATCTCTGTGCAGACAGGACAAGCAGAGGGAGAACAGCATGTAAACAGAAACAAAATGCTGAAGTACAGCTAAAAGGAAAGTTAATTGTGGAAAGTTTCATGTTATATTATTTTAAAGATAATTCAGGACCAAAAGAGTTTGATCCACAGTACTAAATCCCTTGATGGAATCATTTTATAATTAAATTGAAATCAAATTAAGGCCTAGAAAAAAGAAATCTGAAGTCTAAAAGACAAAATACTTGGGACATTGTACATTGTATTTTTCCCATAAGTAACAAAAAACCTTGCATTAAGTACAAACCTTAAGTCCACTGCAGCTATAAACTGGACCGGGTGCCTCCATAACAACTAAAAGTAATTTTCTAGATAATTAGATATACTTAGTGTCTTAGATTACCAAAAAGAGGTTTTGAAAAATAAAACCTGGGATTATTTTCTCCATACACAGTTGAATTGCTTTATTTTTCAAAACCTGCCAATTTGAGTACAGTATCTTTTTAAAAAAAAACAGAAAGCATATTTCTTCAGCATATCAGTACAGTGGGTTATCCCTGGCCAGCAGGGACATGGGTCTAAAAGCTTGAGTCTTTTCTACCTGGGTGAACACTGAACCAGGTACTTCAAAACTGAACGCGGATACTAGTGGATCAGAGAGCTACACTATTACAGGACACCCTATGATTCAGATCTTACAATGTGGGTTATACCTCAATGCACGACAAAATGCAGATAAGATTTACAGAACAGACTGAATAGCAAATCAATTTCAGTGAATACAATTAACAAGCATGTTAAAATCCTCATTTTTAGGAAAATATGGCTTCAATAACATCAATATGGCATTTCAAAATGGCTTCCTAGCATGTCATTAAGTTAATGCTGTAGGAAAATCTTCAGTGTAACAGGAGATTTATATAAATCTTAGATCTTCGAAAAAAAAACAACACAAAAACCCCCAGAATGTCTATTTCATAGGAAATTATGGTATGTAGATATTTGGTTTCATCTGATTGAGATGAAAAGTCTATATATTTCTTTTTCCACACTGAAAAAGTCCATTTTGAATGTTGAGGGAAGTATTGAAACATGCACATATCAAAATCTTCGGCTTCAAGCCAGTTTAGAATCAAACCATATCTCCCTATAGTGGCATGTTACCTATGTTGCACTGCATTGTGGGAGCTACCTCCTTTGATTTTTTTCTGTTGAGAAGTTCAAAATAATTCGGAAGTCTGAGGTGGTGGGGGCGGGGGGGGGGGGGAGACATACCTCTGCTCACAGAAAATCCTGATTTTTCAGAAACTCACTTAAAGGACAATTCCCAATCAGCTATATATAAAATATAAAGATGAAGGACAAATAGCAAACAAACAGCAGATTTGTACAAGGACAGTGTCAATAGTATTTTTATACAAACAGCCAGATTCTGGGAAAACAATAACTATGTGTATTACTCTAGCAGCATGAAATTGCTAAAGTGTTGCCATAGATTCACAGGTGATGACTTCCTGGGCATGTGTCTACACATGCACATTTAATACAAATTAGCCCAATTTAAGGGGCATTAAGGGCACGTGTCTACACGTGTGTGTCCTTAATGCACCTTAAAATGGTGATTTTAGGCTATTCAAGCCTAAATTTGATACCTGCATAAAGCAGGTATCAAATTTATGTGCGAATATCTAAGTCACATTAGTGAACATGTAGATGCACTAATGCACATTAATGCAGTGCGTCTCCACTGACTTGGGACTAACTTTTGTCCCAAGTCTGTTCACACACCCACATTAATGTGTCTTAGCACATGCACATGTAGATGTGCAACTAAATCACCTTAATGCGCATTAAGTTTAGGCATATGTAAAAGCATGTGTAAAAACACCCGGAGTGGCAATATAGTACGTTTTCTATGGCATGTCCTTCTAATGAAGACAGCATATCATGGTCCTGGATGGAACAAAACTATGTCCCAAGAAGCATAAAACTCCTGGGGTGGTAGTAATGGTGGTAGTAGTAGTAGTAGTTGTTGATTTACAGTTTTCACCAAAACAGTATAATACAATGAAACACACACATGCACGTATACTGAATAACATTTATATAAATCATAATTTTACTAAAAGCATATAATAAGATTATCCATTCTACTAGTTTACACAATTAATAAGGAACATGATGTATATAATGATGTAAAAAAAGAAGTAAAATGAAGCAACGAACAATAAAACAGAACAGGAAAACTATTTGATTTTGGTCCTTATTCTTTGTGCAAGTTGTGCAAATACATCTAAGGAGTGGAAGACAGGCTCTGAAGTGTTAGAATCCACATTAGTTTTTCCTCATTAGCCCAGTATTTTGTGTTTCCCACTAATGGAAAGCTCCATTTCCCTCTTCTTTCTTCAAAGAGCAAACAAGACCACAAATAATTATTTAAGTCATCAATCTCATTCTTCCCATAAGAGCATATTCTATCCGAATATGGAATCGGACACCACCTCCCCATGACAGCTGCAGATTACATTACCATGAATTTCAATCTAATGATGGCCTCTCATTGTTTGAAATTTTGCACCAGACTGGTTGCTGGGCCAAAGAAGTGTTTTAATTAAACTTAAAAAAGGGGAAGTTTGAAACAGTCTCAGTGCCAGCATATCTGTCTTCATGCTCGCATCCTTAATTCTTAAATCTATGTCTTGTTTTAAATGCAGGGGAAATATTTGTTCCATTGCTCTGAGAATACTTCCCAGGATGTTTATCTGGAGGGTACAGATGTTCTTTAGCCATCCAAACCAGGGTTGATTTGGCAGAGGAGAGGCTTCTAACATGCACATCCTGGAGTATTCAGTAGATATAAAATATCTAACTTTCATCCAGTAATTTAGGGTTCTTAATTGGGTTAAAGAGCTCACATTTATCAGTCCAGATTCAGAGTGCATGAACCCTCCTGTCATAGAATTAGGTAAAGATAAAAGACACCTTAAAAGTAATTAGAAAACTTTCAATTTTCACGTGGACCATAGGGTCAACACCCCAGAGTTCTGCTTTGTACAATAAAATGGATTGTACCTTGGACCTACAGACCTTTAGTGCTTTCAGAACTGCTGTTCTGCCCATCTTACTGTAGAAGGGTAAAACTCCACCCAGAGATTGTTTTGCTCTAATATGTACCTTTTAAATATCCTTATTCCAGCTCAAACTTTTGCTAAAATATATTCCAAGGTCTTTAAAGGAAGACACCACCTCTGATTTCTTTTCCCTATAAAAACCAATCCCATTTCCTTCTTTCATTTTGAAAGACCATTACTTTGGTTTTAGCTGTATTGATTTTTATGCTATTTGAGGTGCAATATTGTTAAAAGGCATCTAATAATCTTTGAAGACCTATTTGGGATTGCAACAGAATTAATGCATCATCTGCATAAAGCAAGAGAGATATAGTTCAAAATCATGGGTGCATGGAATTGATTTCCCGTTAGAACCTGTTTTAAATAATTCAAGAATAAGTTGAAAAACGGAGCAAGTAAACATCCTTAGTTGGGAAACTATTGGATAAGGCACCACCGGTCCCATAACATAGTCTTGATGCTGTGTTTGAATAGTAAGTGATGATTAATAGTAAGAGTTTTATCTACTGGTGTTATTAGCAGTTTCTTCCATAATTTAATCTGTCTAGGTTCCCTGAGATCATACAGACGATTTTGCTTTTAAAATATATTTAGACCCCAGATAACACAACGCCAAGTAATGGAATGGTTCATGCATATCTTTCTCTAAAATCACCGTTCTTCTCCTAAAATATTATTTTCAGAGAGAATGTCCAAAGGTGAAAGAGTAAATGTCTCTCAAGTATTCTGGCAGGAATACACACAAAACTAATGGGGTGATAAGATGTGGCATCTCTCTTGTAACCATTTTTTTTTTTAATTGGGACTATTATATTTTCATTCTAATACTTGGGATAAAAGTCTTCTAAAATAAGTATATTTAAAATTTTGGTCAGAATTGGGCACCATTGGTCAATGAATTCCTTGAAGATATTTGTGGGGGGAGAAAAATCAAGGTCAGAGGCCTTTCCATTTCTCAGTAAGTATATATATGATCTTACATGAGGTTCAGAGATGAGATGATAATTATCTACTTGTAGCTTTACAGATAAAATTTCCTTCATTTACGATCTGCAGATAAGTTGTTAAAAAACATGACCTGTATATCTTTAGGGATATAACCATCAGAAATTACGTAAATTTTTTTTGTCGCTTTGGCTGTAATTTGCCAAAAATTTTGATTATAATTTTTTCCTGTAGCTACTAGTTCCTCCCACAGCTTCATTTGATAGGCTTTTTTTCCTTATCCATCATTTTTTTTGCAGTCTGTTTTAATCTTCTAGATCCTTTGAAAGGTAAGGCAGTCATTTTTAGACTTGTATTCCTCCAAGGCATCTGTTATATCATCTTTAGATGGAGAACAGTCCTGTCAAACCATGGTTTGAGGCCCCTACAGCATTTATTCCCAGAAAAGGTACTCTTTTTTGTGAGGGCATTTTCCAACTGTTGAATAACTGCTTCGTATTGGGTAATTGCTTCGCAGGGCTCTTGTACTTTGAGAATATTAAATAAGTGGTCTGAGCAAGTGTCTTTGAAGAGGGCGACATGCATCTCATAACTCGTTATTCCATTGAATTCTCTTTTTATTGACTAGTAATTTGGGGACCAGCTGTATAGTTTTTGGGATGCACTCCCCATAAAATTCTAATGGAATTTTTAGTGACAGGGGGAAATGGTTACTTTTCATCTGTGGTAGTTAATTGGGTGAAGTAGTAATGAGGAAGCATAGAAATAATATACAGCCACCTATTTCCCCACTTCAAATCTTTTTTTTGTTAACCTTTCTTCATGCAGATATCTTCATAGGTAAAGGAAAGACTAAATACATGAAAACAAGACTGCATAAAAGAATAACTTAAGTAAAAAAAAAATTCAAAAGGATAATTCTACTTAACTATCTAGCTTCACGGTTACTGAATAAGAAAATGCAGTACATTCTGAAAGTGATGCTTTGTTTAAATCCTGTAATATGAACACTATTAAGTGAGTTTTTGAAATTCTAACATGTAGGTCCACACCTTTCATCTTTATTAGGAACATATATCATCTATAACAGGGGTAGGCAAAGTATGGCCCACAGGTTGGATGCGGCCCACCAAGGAATTTTATGTGGCCCACAGCGGGTCCCTCAGCCTCACTTGGCCCAGGCATGGGGGACAGCCTGGGCTATGGCATGTGCGACCAGTCCTGCCACGCCTAGGTGTGCAGCAGGCTAAGGCAGCGTGGTGGCTATACTCCACTTCCCCACAGACCCCAGTGGCAGCGGCTCCTTCCGGCTGCCAAGGTCCAGCCCGTCTACCCTGCAACCACCACTGGGGGTGCCAGACAGAGCAGGCAGGGTCTCCATGGAGACAGACCCAGGAACCACGCGGGTGTCACTGCCCCACAGAGGTCACTGCCCCGCAATCCTGGCCTTGATCCACCCACCCACCCATCCTGCTCCCAGACGCCACTTCCCTCCCACCCGTGGCCCCATCCTATTTGCCTGGCCAAGCATGCTCTACCTGTGGGGGTCCCCAGGGTGGTCTCCATGGAGACCCTGGGGCTGCAATCACCAGGTGGTGACAGGATGGGGCCAGGTCCCAGCCCTGGGACAGAGCCATTTAGGGAGCTCTGGTAAGCTGTTGCAAGGTGACGGGGGGCAGGGGAAATGTGCGGACCTGATCCACAACAGGTCGCCAAGACTCCTTAAGTGGCTCTCCACACAAAAAAAACTGCCTACTTCTGTTATATAATGTTTTCTCAAAAGAACCTTTTATATCAGGGGTGTCAAACTTATCCAGTCTTGGGCCAGATGAGGTTTGCTGGGCTAGTCTACATGCTGAACCAGAACTGACCCCCTGTGCCTTGCCCACTGTGCTGGGTCCAGCCCATGTGCCTTTCTGTAGCACACAGGGCCTATGCTGGATGTGATGTGTGGACTAGACTCGGCACTGCAGGCAGCACAGGGCAGCAACAATCTGGGGCACAGCATACAGCCCACACCCTAGACTCCCTGTTCGACATACATGAACCCTTAACTGTTTTCCCTTACAGAGACAAAAAATGTAGAGTACTGTACCCTATTGTAAATGTATCTGTTACTGTTAAACAGCTAAGCTGGAGTGATGTTTGTGTTCAACAATGACATACTTATCTGAAAACTAAAATGTTTAAATTATTTCACAAACTAATCTCAGCAAGGTGATCCATATTTTCCTTCCTATGACTGGTTTATTCAAAGTCCCCGGTTGAGAGAGAGTTCAACAATTGGTGCATTTCCAAAATATAAAATAGGATTCTAACTGTACAATTAATCACTTGCAAAGTACTACATCTTTTTAGGAAAAGAACATGAACATGCTTGCTCTCTCTTTTTTTCTCAACAGGTAATTGCAAACTATAGCTGATCTTTACTAGCATCATGACTCTGCCCTAGTCATAGTAATATATACCGTAGATTTTTAACCACAACAATCAATGGCTTACTGTATACTTAATGAATTCTGTGACCTTTAGGAAAATGTACACTGCTTAAGCAATTTGAGTGTATTTAATAATTTAGACTAAAGGAAAAAACATTTACTTGGTTCAATAAAGATGCGAATATTTATCTGCCCGAGACAGTTGACATTTTATTACCTGGACAACAGATCAGTCTTAATTATGGAACCATTAATTTTTGTGAGTTTTAATAAAGAGGTTTATTAGGGAGCAAGTATTTGCCAGACTTTGGATGAATGAGATGAGAGGGGTTGAATCAATATTCAGTATTAATTGGAAAGATTATTTAAAATTAAATTTTAAAGAACAAAGCATCTCTGTATTGAAAGCTACAAAATGTTCTGTTATTAAAAGATCACAGTATGCCTAAAAATGGTATTAAGAAAAAAAAGTCCAAAGTTCAGAAAAATGTATGCTATATAATATCAATATTCCTTTTATTTTAGCAGATGAAACCCTTTTCAGTAAAACATAGTTTAAGGGGGACAGAGGAACCATATTTCATCTATCCAAAATATTTGTAAAGTTAATCTGTAATATTTGCAAAAACTGAACATTGAAGGCAAAAAATAAGGAAATCAACCCCAAAATAGCAGGAAGTACCATAATATGACTTTTAATTTAAACAAAATGGCAAGGATTTTAGTCTATAAAAACAAGTTGTGCCTGTGTCTTAAAATTACATTTTGTAATTCTGCACCACTCAAATCATAAAGAAAACCCATTTGAAGATCTGGTGCATTAAATTATAACCTAGGACTTAACGCATTTCATAAAAACTTTATGAGCTGCCAACTCTTTGTGCAAAACTTTCTATTCAAAAACAATTCTACTTATACTGACTGTACTACGGACTGTATTTTCTTTTACTTTTTATTGTTAAAGACAGCTGCATAAGAACATGAATGTAACAATTTACTCCTCATTTAAAGTCAACCCTTTGTGATGCTATAAACAGCTAATTACAACTTCTAACAAAGAATAAAGAAACCAAAAGAACATCTACACCTGAATCCCCAGGGGCTGTACAGAATTCTACTTACATGAATTACATGAAAGGTCCATTTCTCTAATCTTGCAACTTTGAAAACAGTGACTTAGAAACAAACCATCTTACTCACATGTAATAAATACCCTCAAACAAGAAACATGGGAAAATATCAAGACAGGAAGCACAGGGCATAGAATACTATATTTTCCAGAAATAATCTGTAACAGTTGACAAATAAAACTGAGGGGCATAAACTCACCCCACCTTCAAGAAAAATTTAGTACCCTTACCCCAGGTATAAATGTAAAGATGTTATATTTTTGATTTTTTATGGCATTTCTTGGATATTTTTCTTCACACTTTTCTGGACACCCAAGCCACACTGTGCGAGCTTTTAGTTCTTTCTTTCTTCGGCATATGTTTATGAGCCAGTCACAGCAACTGTAAAGTACAAAAAACATTTTAATATTTAAAAACCTACTCTAGGTGTTTTGGCCATCGATTAGATAACTGAAAACCATAAGTTAAGTGATGAAACAGAGTTAGGATCACAGGTTTGAAAATCTTGAATTCTATTCAACTCATTAACAAAGTTTTGATTCAATATTTAGTACAGGCATGTAGTAAATATAAAACAGGCAGAATAAGTCAAACAATTTTTCTTCTACCCTGCAATGACAATATTCATCAACTAAATTAGCACAATATTTTAATGTTGTGGTTCTAGATTTCATTAATTTTTGGAAGACATTGCATATCTACCCTACTTCGGGTTTTTTGGGTGTACCCTTATCTGTTCATTTCTTGACGCACTAAATATTTTCCAAAATATAACCTTAATTTTGAATTTTGGGAGTATTATGTTTTTGCTTTCAAGTGTTGTTTTACTGTTGAGTAACTCAGATATATTCCACACTTAACCAAGACCTTTGCTTGTGAATTCTATTTGTATACAGTAGTAAAAGTGCCATATAAGAATGTTAAACAAGAATTCAAAGAGAAAGTTATGCTAAAAATAGTTCCAAATACCTGTGTATCAATGCATCCAAAAACAAGCAAAATGATGCTGAATATTACTACTGCTTCCCATCATGGGGGCAGAGCAGTTTGCAAATGACCTAAAGGTTATTAATTTGCAAATGATCTTTAACTTGCAAATGACTTAATTGGTAATGAAAACTGTTAAGATGGCTAGTTTTACATGAACATGGGTTAGAATACCAAGTCTCAGTGATTTAAGATTCCTCTCAGACCCAGGGTTTATATTTTGGGTGCCCTAAGCAAAAGCTCTGTATCAAGTTTACCTACCATACTACTAATAGCTGCCATGAACCTGGCCATTGCTGGTCAGTTTCAAAGTTACTTGTGCAATGGGGGCTCCTGAGGAGCTCTGAGCACCATGTAACTGCACACTTTGCACCACACTAATATTACCCTAGCTCAGATTTTTATTTATTAGATTTATATGCTGCCCTTTCCCACAAAGGCTCGGAGCAGCTTGCAGTAAGAGAATAAAAACTTTTAAAACAGGAGAACAAATGGGAACAAAATATTGTGTAAAAGCAAGTAGAATATCAAAATGAATGCATCTCAGCCTAGTCTTGCTGGATAAATGCTTGCCTAAATAAGAAGGTCTTGCTGTGCTTCCAGAAGACATCCAGGGTTAGGCTCTGGTAGGTCTCAAGGGGGAGGGAGTTCCAGAGTTGAGAAGAAACTGCTGAGAACAGCCTCCCACACATCTGCACAAAGCAAACTTGGTACTTTGATGGTATTTGCAAGAGGTCGCTCTAGGCTGACCTTAGGAATTGTGATAGGGCATAAGAGCCTTAATAGGTCAAAACCAGTATCTTAAATTGTGGTCAGAAAACTATCAGGAGCCACTGCAGCCTCTGAAACACTTGATTTATGTTGTCCTGGAGATTCACCCCTGATAGAAGGCAGGCTGCCACATTTAGAACCAGCTGTGGCTTCCAGTCAGTCAAAGGCAGCCTTATGTAGAACACACTGCAGTAGTCTAGCCTCAAGGTTATGAAGGCATGCATGGCAGTGGCTGGATCCAAATCTGAAAGAAAGTGCGGCCGCTTTCTCACCAGATGGAATTCAACGCAGACAAGTGCAAGGAGCTGCACCTAGGAGAAAGGAACCTGCAACATACCTAATAAGCTGGGGAACACAGTGGCTGAAAGGGATCTTGGAGTCATTGTTGATTCCAGAACAGACATGAGCCGCCCATGTGAGGAAGCGGTCAGTAAGGCTAACCGCACCTTGTTGTGCATCTATAGATGCATCACAAGCAAGTCCAGGGAGGTGATCCTTCCCCTCTATGCAGCACTGGTCAGGCCACAGTTGGAGTACTGCATTCAGTTCTGGGCACCGCACTTCAAGAAGGATGTGGCTAAACTTGAGGGTCCAGAGGAGGGCCACTTGCATGGTCAGAGGGCAGCAGGCCAGGCCCTACGAAGATAGACTAAAGGGCCTGAATCTATTCAGCCTCCACAGGAGAAGACTGAGAGGGAATCTGGTGGCCGTCTATAAACTCACTGCGGGGGACCAGCGGCAAATAGGTGAAGCTCTGTTCCCCTGGGCACCACCTGGGATAACAAGGAATAACAGCCACAAATTGATCGACAGTAGGTTCAGGTTTGATATGAGGAGGCATTACTTTACGGTTAGGGCTGCTAGGCTCTGGAATGGGCTCCCAAGGGAGGTGGTGCTCTACCCTACCTTGGGGGTCTTCAAGAGGAGGTTGGCTAGATATCTGGCTGGGGTATTATGATACCAGCACTCATCCCTGCCCAGGGCAGGGGGTCGGACTTAATGATCTATTCAGGTCCCTTCCGACCCTAGAAACTATGAAACTAAGATGACATTGGTGAAAGGCACTCATAGCTACTGCCACTACCTGAAAATCCAAACGCAGCAGAGAATCCAGGAGCACCCCCCAGCCCCCTGAGTGGCAAACTTGAGTGGCAACAGGAACCTGAACCTCAAAGAGAGAAGCCTCAATCACCCACAGGTCAAACAGTCAGCCCACCACCTCCATCACCTCTGTCCTATTTGGATTCAGCTTGACTTGGTTTACTTGCATACAATCCCCAAAATGCAGCCTGGCATTGGGAAAAGATAAGAAATTACAAGGCCCAGGTCAGCTGAAAAAGAGGTAAAGCTGGGTTTCAGCAGCATACTGATGCCCCCTCACTCCAAAGCTTCACATGATCTCATTCAGTAGCCTCATAAAAACATGAATGGGATGACAAGATGCACCTCTGCGGGGGAAGTCAAAGGAAAGATCTCAAGGTGATAGGCACATGCCCCTAACTATCACCTGCTAGGAAAGAGCAAAACCAATTTAGTGTCTCACAAATGCCCACCAGGAGGACATGTGAATGCTTTATCAGCACCTCATGATCACCTGTATGAAAGGCAGCTGAAAGATCTAGTAAGATCAGCAGGGGACAATGTCCCCTATTGATCTCCAAGCAGATAGTCAACTGAGGTCACTGAGTCTCTATGCTGTATCCAGGATGAAAACCAGACTGAATAGGGTCCAGAAATTCCATCACATTCAGATGCGACTGCACCTGACAAGCAACAGCCTGTTCACACTTTCTGCATCACTGGGTGACAAAAATTTAGCACAGAAGTAATCTACCACAGAAAAATACAAACCGATGAGTCTGCAGGTCAATACATTACATAGTTCTGATTTCGAAAGTATCTGGTAAGTAAATAAGATGCTAAAATGATCAATCTAGCAGAAATGAAAAAAAGCTTCGCTCTTAAACAAAGGAAAAAAACCCCAAACAAAACAGTTCTATTCTCTATTCCAGTGATCTTCAACCTCATTAGACTCAAAACACTCCTGAGAAAATGCCAGCTCTTGATTTTCACTCTAATTTTGACTATAGAACAATAAGAGCAATTTTTCTGTGGCAAGAGCAGAATGTTTTTAACACTATGGATTCTTATTAAAAATTCCTGGGTTAATTTTGTGAGTCATGTTTGCATAGCAAACAGTGCTAATGTTGTGTGGTACTCTGTGGAACCCTTGACAGGATCTCATAACATCTCAGGGTACAGTGGGACCCTGGCTGAGAATCACTTCTCTGTTCATTGCTTTGATCTTTCAGCCTCAACTAATATGGAAAGTTGAACCACTGTTCTTTGTATGGTATCCTCTGTAAAAAAGAAATGAGTATTTCCAAAGGAATCAAGTTAGAACATGGTCCCACACTTTATGATCTAGAATGCAGCAAAACAATTTTCAAAAGAACACTTTAAGGCAATAAATTTGCCCATGGAAAGACTATCAGGTGCTTCGGTAGAATGTAGATAGAAATTCTAAGGGCAAATCTGCACCTCCAGACCATGTTAGGAAGCACTGGAGTAAACCGTGCCGCACCTTCTCCACACCTGCTCTCTGTAGAATGCAATTTAATCTTCATAGTGTTGTGCTAGGCATGCTTCAGTAAGTTCTACCTCCTTTAGTGCTGCAAACCCCCAAATAATCTTCAGGCTTACCTTTACTTACTGGCCATAAAAACACCCTGTATTGTGTGAGATTCGTTTTTTAACTTAACCTATGCAAGAACAAATGACATGGCACAACCCCATTTCTAGATGCATACCTTCTTCAGACATTAAGGACTTTTTCCTGCTCTTAATATTTGCTTCAGACTAAAGCAACTTAAATTAGTCCCCTTTGAGCAACTGAGAAATGTAGCTCTTTGAAACTAATTGCATTATATGATATGAAAGAGAACAGCTATGCACAGCTACCATTATGACCATCAGCAAGGTAAACTCTGAAAAGCACAGATTCAGGAATGAAGTTTGTGTGTGGGAAACAATTGTGATACTTTAGATAACAGAGAGTGACCAACACAGAGATAAGCACATGTTAAGCCCCAAGATGCAAGGAAGTCTCAGATGATAGAAATAATTACGGATTTGGAAAATTCAACTTGAAATGTTTCTGGCACATAAATGAGTTTTTACTACTTTTGGACTCTGAAGTCAGTCAGTTCTTGTGCAATTTATAACCACTTCAGGAATCCCTGTTAGTTCATGAGTGGCCTTTAAGATGTCTATCTTCTCAACATAAGCCCTCACCAGTTTTGCAGTACATGAATTGAGATTGCTATGCCTATTAAAGACCATCATATATTTAAGGAAATTCATCACGTTTGTCAGAATACGACAACCAAAACATGACAAACATAACATGTCAAAATCCATGTTAAGTTCTAAAATCAATAATTTACAAAAACTGAAATACATTTGTGCATTAAATCTTATTACAATCTTCATAAGAAACTTTGAAGCAAAACATTTTCAGCATGTATTGAAAACATAAACACATCTTTTCTTTAGGGGTTAGCTATAAAATGTGTCAATTGACTAAAATTTGATTAATACATTTAAGAAAATGAAAACATGAA